TTAATGCCAGCACTGACTCTAACCACATCTATGAGAGCACATTAAGCTGTAAATATCAAAAATAAGTATTTCTATTAATTTAACACTGTTATTAATGAGTTTAACAGCCATCAAGACTTTCACTGTACTTTCTAGCAGTGCCATGTAAGTTCATGCTGTAATGTCTGTATGGAATGACATATCTCAGGATGTACACTCATGGGCCAAGCCCAAACCCAAATAATCTAAATTCATAAATAAGCACATGATTACAGCTACAAATTTGATGAAACAAAATGGTGCCATTTTTGAGCACAGTAACAAGAGTTTATTTTTATATCTTTGGTAGTTTACTGGCAACACCATTTCCTACTTGCAAATGCACATCAACATTAGAAAAAAATCATATTCTGGGTCTGAGCCACAGAACACAAGGCTCCAAGCCCTTCCCAGTGCAGTTCCAGATTTTTGAGGCTGAACAGTCCAAACCTTGCCTTGCTGTCATTGCTGAGTGATCTCACCTTGCATCAGAAAGCTGTCCTTCACACATGAACAGTCTCTTGGAATGCTGCTGGAGAAGGGTAACCAACAGCTTTGGACTTCCAGGGAGATTCTTTAAGGGCTCAATTTCCAGGTTACTTCCCATAAAACAGATGTCTTTCAAACAGCTTGTGCTGAAGCTACAACAAAGCCCCAAAACTCCCATTCCCTCCCTCCAACCCCTGGCTATGGAAAATGGAAGCCTTGCTGGATGCACACTGGCATCTGTCACAATTACTCACCAAGGGAAGAGTTATGGGCATGAAAGCTAAAGAGAAAGAAAACTTTATTTCAGTAAAAAAAAAAAATCTGTGAGTATAAATGGATGGTCTAGAGCAGAAAACTCCCCCGCTCCGCTGCCCATTTCCACCTCCAAGTAAAACACCGCCCACAAACCCCAGCATCACCATTAACTCCAGCCCTAAGCTTTATCTCTCACTCCTGCCTCAAGAAGCCAAATTCCCTTCCCAGATTTCACAGCCAAAAGGAGCCCTCATGAGCTGGGGCCTGCTTTTCCCCAGGGCTGCTTGGAAATGAAATAACTGAAGAAAGTTCAGCCCTCTGTTCAAAGAGAGGTGTAACAAAAGCTGCCACAGTGTGAGTGGCACAGGAGATAATGAGTGCAGAGCCTCAGTGTGGTTATCTGTGATTAACAACCTGTGCAAGCACACCTGATCTGTCACCAGAATGTAAATTCATCCAGCAGCCATCAAGGGAAAAACTTAAATTACAGCAGACAGTTAAATGTGGAGGGATTTGGGAACTCATTCTGCACAACAAGAAGCACAGACTGATCAGGGTGTTTCCATCTAGATGAGCAGATTATCCCAGGGAGAAATTCCCCAGCAGGACCATAGGAATAAATCAAACAATCTTCAACACATTGAACAATACAACTAAGAGAAGAGTCTGCTTGCTTTTCTATGTGAGTGTCACTGTGGTATCACAGCAGCTGTTCACCATGAGCTCTTCCTCCCTGATGCCTCAGTCACACATATAAAATTTCACTTAAGGGAACCCACCTGGAGGTCTAAACAAAACAGGAATTATCTTGTCTGTATCAGGATGTACACTGGACTTAAAAAGGAAAAAAAAGCAAATTAGAACATCTTTGCCATACTTGAATAACAGAAAAAAAAATCTAAATATTTTGTAAACTTACCAGGCTTAGCAAGAAGTCTTTTTTAATCTACAACAGTTGGAAAATTAGGTTAATAATTAAATTTCAGAAGAGGCTGGGTAAAATCTTCTTTCTAAACTTATTCTATGTCTTTTTCTAATCACTTCCTTTTATACATCCCTTTTATATATCCGTTTAATTATATTCTTCCCCTAAAATTTCTCTGCATATACTCCCTGTGGAATATAAAGCATTCACATCCCATGAGTTGTGTAACAGCACCCAAGCACACACTAGGGCAGAAGAGAAGGTTTATTTAAAAAAGTTAAAACTAGTAAGAATTTTAAACCATAAAACAACAATTTGATATGGATAAACACTTATGTTAAGACTTTAACTGCAGTGCAAAATACCTGATTATTCTGTATGGGCTCACTTAGGGTCTTCTCATTGATTAGTATTGATAACCTGGTTCTTTGTATTTCATTCTGTATTTGAGAGAAAAAAATAAACAAAACAAAACAAACAAAACCATCTCAGTTTCAGTATTTTCAGTGCAATTTATGAGCTATAAAACAAACCTAGAAGCTAATGATGTATCTGTGACTTACAATGAAAGCAAGAACACTCCTAGACACAATGAATTCATAATCACAGAAACTTTTAAACTACTGGGATAATGCAACTGCTGGCACAGTGTGAGCAGGGCTGCTGAGACGGCTGTGCCTAGAATGTCCCTTGGTTTATGTAATCACAGGTGCATCCACGTGTGTTTGTTTATTGCAGGACTCTGGAATGGTTCGGGTTGGAAGGGACTTTAAATCCCACCCAGTGCCACCCCAGCCATGGCAGGGACACCTCCCACTGTCCCAGGCTGCTCCAACCCCAATGTCCAACCTGGCCTTGGACACTGCAGGGATCCAGGGGCAGCCACAGCTGCTCTGGGCACCTGTGCCAGGGCCTGCCCACCCTCACAGGCAGGAATTCCTTTCAGCTACACAACCTAAACCTCCTCTGTTACTTTAAAGCCATTCCCTTGTCCCAGCACTCCGTGCCCTTGTCCAAAGCCCCTCCCCAGCTCTTCGCCGCCCCTTTAGGCAGCGGAACATGACATCCACCTACATTCCTCGCGATTTCCCTTCTCCTCAGCAGCCCTGCGGTGATTTCACAAGGCCATTCCACCCTCGACCCAGGCACAGCCCCTCAGGCCGCCCGCTCATCTCGACCTTCCCGCGCTACTCACGGAGGACTTGAGCAGCAGCAGCGGATCCAAGGCGTCCGCCCAGAGGAGAAACCTCTGCAAGAAAGACTGAGGGAGACACGTTGGAGGCGTTATCGCGGACCTTCCCTAACACGACCCGTGCCCCCTCCCAGCCGCGGTGCCCACCTGCCCCTCCGCCCTCCAGAAGCGCAGGTTGGCATCCATGGAGCCGCGGCACCGGAAGCGCCGCCGGGCCCGGTCCGGTGCCGCACGCTCCGCCCGGCCACGGAGCCGCCGCGCCGGGGCCCCGCTGCCGGCGGCGCATCGCTCGGGAGAGGCCCCACGGGCTTTCCCTTCCAGCGGCTCCCCCGGTGTGAAAAGCGCCAGTCACTTGTTTTTAAAATTTTCAATGTTTAATAGTAATAAAATGGTTATAAAAATGGTAATACAGTTAGAGTAATAATAATTTGGACGATTTGAATTAGGACAATATGAGACAATAAAAACAAAGAGTTACGGATGTCCAGGTACCTTTCCTGGGCAGCATAAGCCCGAAAAAGGAGACACGTTAACAGAGGATTAACCCTTAAAAACAATAACTTGTTGCATATTCATACAGCTCATACATGATGCATAAATTCCATTCAAACATAGGATTCTGTCTGATCAGTGTCAACTTCTGAATCCTAACTATGAAAAATGCGTGTATTTTATGATTGGCTTTTCGCAAATATTCAAATGAACATTCCATGTGTTGTGTTAGAAAGTAATGCTGTATTTATTCTCTTAAGCAGTGTATTAAATATAGAGTTTGAGGTTATAAAAATGTTAAAATACAAACTATGCTATGTAGGATGCTTTTTTTAAAAAAGAAAGGACTTGCAGCAAGATAGCAGCCACAGGACACCTGAATCTTTCAGAGAAAGAGAATTTATTGCCCTCTTATCAGAAGAAATGAACTTCTTCCTGCCTTGAAGGTGCTGTCAGGATTCAGAGGAAGAAGTTGACGATGACCAGACAGAATCCTGTGTTTGAATGGAATTTATGCATCATGTATGAGGTGTATGAATATGCAACAGGCTGTTGTTTTTAAGGGTTAATCCTTTGTTAATGTGTCCTTTTTCAGGCTTATGCTGCCCAGAAAAAGGTACCCAGATGTCCATAACTCTTTGTCTCTACTGTCTCATATTGTCATAATTCAAATCGTCCTAATTATTATTACTCTAATTATATTACCATTTTTATAACCATTTTATTACTATTAAACTTTGAAAATTTTATAAACAAGTGATTGGCATTTTTCTCACTGGGCAGTCAAGGCCTGGCCCCACGGGCTTTTCCCTTCCAGCAGCTTCCCAGTTATAAAGCTCGCTCAGGGCTCAGCCGCCTTGTGCTTCTTTGCTCAGAGGGTCAAAAGATGGAAAACAGAAACACACAGAACGTTGTATTGATCTGTGCAGCCCCACAGAACTTTGTGTGCATGGGCTGCTCCCCGTGGCTCCTGTGAGCTGCTGTTGGAGCTGCTGAGGCAATGAACACACCCAGTTCTTTCCAGAGAAACAGAGAAAGAAAAGCAAAGCACCACACCTGCTGCTAGGCCACGTTAAGATTATTTTATTATGGCTAGAGAGATGCTACATCAGTTTCAAGCAGTACAAGAGTCAAGCAAATTCAAGCGAAAGAAACTTTGCCATTAAGCTCCAATAAGTGCACTGTGGGGGTTCCCAAACAAAATTAAAGTTCATGCTTGTTAGTGCTCCTGAGTAGCTGCACTTCTGTTTTTAATGGCACACATTTACATTCTTTCCATGTTTTAGTGCATTTACACACAAAACCAATGATTTTAAAATTACTTTTACTTGTTACATTCATCTTCCTCTGCAAAAATCATTAAAAACAAACCATGTATCAGAATTCCATCCTTGTATTTTTCCTTTTTTTTTTTTAACTGACTTTTATATTGTGTGAGAAAATGAAATGCAGGAAATTTTCTGGTCCAAAACTAGATAAAAGGAAAAGCCAGTGGAAGGCTACTGTAACTTGTGTACTCATCACATTCAGAAGATGAATAATGGTCACAGAAATCCATGAAACTGAAGTTGCAGAAGGCAGGGGGAAAGCCTTAGTTTTACCCTTTTTAAAGCAAGACAAGGGAGTCAGTAAATATTTTAGCATTTAATTTCTTCTTAAACATGAGAAAATGACAGCTTTTATTTTTATTATTAATTTTTACAATCACAGCTGTTTTCCTAATGTCTTCATAGACAAAACTAAAGAATTGTGTCCACATATTTGAGTGTTTAGTAATGCACTTTTTCAAAATATTCTTTGGAACCTTCTGGGCTTGGTTTGATCTGTCAAGAAAAGAAAGTTAAGTTATTACTTGGAACAGGTATGATATAAAAAACACAGATTTGATACTTTATCCATGAAAATACATGCATACTTTATAAAATCAGTGATCTATTTATTGATTGGTTGAAAGTTAGTTGAAAGACAAAAGCCTAGATTATGTACAAGTCATACTTGAAAATTTTCCGTATAAACCACATTTTTCCTCTTAAAGTAAAAAAAAGTAATTAAGTAAATAAAAAAACCTTAAAATGTAAGTTATTAAGTAAATAAAAAATCTGAACTTGGCTAACCTATAAACCACGTTTTTCCTGTTAAATTACAATGAATTAAATAAATAAAAAATCTGAACTCAGGTAACGTATAAACCACATTTTTCCTGTTAAATTACAATGCATTAAGTAAGTGACATATCTGAACTTGGCTAACCTATAAACCATGTTTTTCTGTTCAATTACAATGTATTAAATAAATAAAAAATGTGAACTCAGATAACATATAAACCACATTTTCCCTGTTAAATTACCATGCATTAAGTAAGTAAAAAAATCTGAACTCAGCTAATAGATAAACCACATTTTTCTCTTCAATTACAATGAATTAAATAAATAAAAAATCTGAACTCAGATAACGTATAAACCACATTTTCCCTGTTAAATTACAATGCATTAAGTAAGTAAAAAATCTGAACTCAGCTTATATATAAACAACGTTTTTCTGTTAAATTACACTGCACTAAGTAAGTAAAAAATCTGAGCTCCGTTAATGGAGAGTCCAAGTCAAGTTTGGAGTTTTGAACACAATTTGCATCTCCTAAAAGGAAAATTTCTTCACAAACATCCCACAATTACTTTCAGACAAACAGACTAAAGTGGCCCAACCGATAACAGCTTTGACAGCAGGCACGGACGCAGTGAAACACCTCACACCTGAGAGGATCCCAGCCCTGCAGACAAGCACCAGCGGCTGTCCTGAGGAGGACACATTCACCCCTGAGCTCACTCACCGTGGGGGAGTTTGGAATCCAGTCAGCAGGGCACACCTCGCCGTGTGTCTCCACGAACTGGAAGGCCTTGACCAGGCGCAGGGTCTCGTCCACGCTGCGCCCCACGGGCAGGTCGTTGACACTCAGGTGCTTGATGATCCCGTTTGGGTCAATGATGAACAGACCTCTGCAACGCAGCATTCAGGCAAGGCAAATCAATTTCCCGGGCCAAACACAAGGAATTGGGTGCACAATTTCAGCAGTGGCATGCATCAGTTAGGAGGGGACCTGCAGTATTGGGTATCTTGTTTGTTAGCAAAGTGATCCACTATTGCTGTGGCACTGTGAAATTAGAAAGTATGTATGGAGACTATTCAATCCAGGCAGAGGTAGCAAAGGGAGAACTCAGTGTTCCACCTGTGCTTCAAAACTGAAAGCTGACATCCTGCCCTTGTCTTTTTGGTCAAATCTGTAGGTGCTGAGTGAGGAGCTGCTTGTGCATTATGCTACTAAATTAAATCCCGTTGCATACAAGTATTTGTGAAAACCAAAGTTCCAATCTTACCACACTAATTAACTTAATCTCTCAGTAAGCAAATGCCAAAAGTTCCTGAGCCAAAGAGATCAGGAACTGAAGGTCTCCAGAAGATTTCTACCCAATCCACTGTTTCTCAGGGACTTCTATGGAAAGAAATTATCAGAAATTGCCCTTCTATGGACATGGAGTTAGGGACATGGAGTTCTCAGGCTTTTCCCTCACACATTTTCAGAGAGGCCTGGAGCCATTCTCAGCTTCATGGCCAAAATGAGCAGGTGCCCTATTCCTAGGGTGGGATCCAGCCATCTCGCAGCAGAACACATCTCCCAATCTTCACCTGATGCCATTTCCCTGCAGGAGGGCACAGTGTGCCCTGTGTTGGTTAGTCTGGGTTGTGTCCCAGCACAGCAGCCCAGCCTTACCTCAGTGCTATGCCAGGTCCTTCCAGCAGCACCCCATACGAACGGGAGATCTCCTTTGTGAGGTCTGACAGAACTGGAATATTCATTTTGCCCAAACCGCCGCTCTAGAGAACAGAGAAAGATTCCACTTGGTTACAAAAAGCTCCATAGGATCATCCTTCCTGAGTGCTGGATTCCATGTTCTTGAGGGCACAGTAACAACAAAACACAACCACGGCATCTGCTCCATGAAAGGAACCAAGTGTGTGTGGTGTTGCTTTGGTTTGTTTTGGTTGTTTGTTCTAAAGTAGTCAAGAACGGATTGTTTCTTTAGAAAGTGAAAATTTCTTTTGCACTGTGCATTTTAGAATTGCTGATTTTGGTGGTAAGAGGCCACCAATGGCAACAGTCATAAATTTCCAGAAAAACTTCCTTTGTATATTATTCAGGAGCTTTGAATAGAAAAGTTTCTACTGCATATTTAAGTGTTCAGAATTAAACAAGATGAACATGGTGGGGAGGAAAGGGAAACAAACCTGTGAACAAACAAACTTTGGAGCACACATCTGATGAGGAACAGCTGAGCATATTTAGCCTGGAGAAAAGGAGAGTCAGAAGTGACCTCTACAAACTCATTAAAAGTGGGTGTAGCCAGGTGGGGGTAAGCCTCTTCTGCAGGTAACAAGGGACAGGACAAAATGAAATTACGTCAAATTGCACCAGGGGAGGTTTATATTGAATATTATCAAAAACTTCTTCACAGAAAGGATTGTCAGGCACTGGAACAGACTTCCCAAGACAAGGGGAAAAAAAACATGGATGTGGCACTTGAGGTCATGATTAGTGGTGAACATGGTGATGGTGGTGGCAGTGAGATCATCATCTCTTCATCATCATGAGACTTCATGATCCTAGAGGTCTTTTGCAACCTTAACAATTCTTATTCCAAACACAATGCTCTTACCAACACACTAAGAATGTCAGAGTTCTGCTGCTCTATTCCGTGCACATGGTTATTTTTGTTTTGCCTCTCACAAATCAATTTCAATACCATTTGAAGAGTCAAACAAGATTTCTTTCCTTTTTGTCACAGACTGAGACTGCAAGAGAGATAAGCTCTCTAACCTTGAAACAAGGCTGGAGTTTGTTAGCTTTGCTATTCTTGGCCTCATCAGTGAATCACTGTGTAATCTCAGCCACAGACCCAGATCCTGCAAACACTCGTCTGTAACAGAGTTCCCTACACAGAGCTTTGAGCACAGATGTCAGAGAAACCAAGGCTTCAGCTTCTCTGGGTGTCAGTTTCCTGCCTATGCCACCATGGAATTCTTTCCGCCCTGTGCAGGGTGTTTTGAGCTGGGCCTGATGATCTTTGTGGGTCCCTTCCAACTGAGAACAGTCTGTGCATCTGTAAAACCCTGAGCACAACTGACATACCCTGCAAACCTTTGGGATAAAGCTGGGAACTCAGGCCACAGTCACACTGCTGAGCTTTGAACAAAGCTTGCAGAAAATAAATACTCTTGATAGGCTTAGCCAAGGTGTATTAAATGCAGCAAACTCTCCTCCCTCCCCTGCATGTCCCAGTGGTGCCAGGAGGCACCCAGCCTGCAGCACAACTGCACACTGCTGCCCACACAGGCTGGGACTGATGGCACAGATGCTTCTGCACCTTCCTGGGACACCTGTGGTCCTCTACAACTGCCTAAACCAGGGGGATGCTTTATGTCATCAAAAGCAGGTGTTTTTACATATATCTGAAAGAGGCTCCTCTCCAGTAAAAGTCTTTATCATCTGATTTCCCTAAAGAAAGCCAAAAACCTCCATTTGTACTTCAAGAGTGGAACCCTTTCATCCAGTGAGAATCAATGATACAAGTGCTTCAATAAACTGGTGGTTCCTCTGCTTCCAACCTAAAGCCACCACTTTTGGGTAATTGTTAACAGTAACGAATGAACAGCTGCTGCTCCTTTTCTGTGATAATTTCTGTGCATTAACAGCTGTCACAGGCACTTTGGGATACTGACATGTAAACTGAGCATTTGTCTTTTGAGATATGTTATCAACAAGGCTATCATCACAGCAAAACAAGTTAAAAACCCAAGCAAGACAATTATGAAAAAGAAAACAAAAGACAGAGGTCAGAATTATGTCATCAAATCTAGAAGTTGATTGCATATGACTTTAGGAAATCTATTAAAAATCAGTGTTGGCACAATTATTTATTCAACTCCACTTCTCTGGAGCTCTTGTGGAAAGAAACCAAACCAAAACAGAAAGCCTCAAAGAGATACTCAATTCCTACCCTTCGTGGTGTGTTTATCCATGCCAGATGAGTAAAATGAGAGTCCACTGAAACTGCCACCACTTCACAGTTGACATCACGAAATTCTTTTGCTTTGTTGCTGAAGGCCACAATTTCCGTGGGGCAGACAAAGGTGCTGTGGGAAGAGAGATCAGGCTGTAATAATTCTGCCATCTTCTCTAGAGAAGACTCATGTCTGTTTCTAGGCATTTTCATTAGACTGATAATTTTAGCCATGTTTCCTGCTCAAAATTAGTTTCAGTCTCAAACCAACAGCCACAGCCGCACAGCTGGCACACCAGTTACCATCTCTGAGTTCTAGACAGATTCCTCACAAAGATGGAGAAACTGCCTCTGCTAGAGACTCTCTGGACAGAGAGTTTTTGGAAACTACAGCAGAAAGATCTGCAGGTTAAACCCTTCTCCATGTGCCCACCTGCACCAAGATACTCTTGGCAACTCAAGTCTTCCGAGCAGACTGACCCCCATCCTATCATGTTTTGCTCTAAAGCTGTTAGCTGCAGTTCTGCTGGCCTTGCTTCTTCAAGGACAGAGTCTCCAAACTACAAGGCAATGTCCTCACCCCTGGGATCTGAGTGTAACAGGAACCACAGCCAGCTCCTGACGCAGGCCCTGCAGCCAGAAGATGCTCTCCAGCCCCTCTATCCACTGCTTTAACACACAACGGCCGTGTGCCCCCAGTCTTATCACTCACGCCCTAGAAACAGGCACATCTGCCCTGCAAGACTGGCCCAAATCGAACAAACCCAGAACGACCTGCAGCGCCTGTGATGACCTTCAGCAGGACCTTCAGCAGGCCCATCGGGAAAGGGAGAAAGCCGCACTCACAAGTCCAGGGGGTAGAAAAAGAGAACCAGGTATTTCCCCTTGTAATCATCTAGGCTCAGCTCCTTGAACTCTCCGTTCACGACAGCCGTTCCCTTGAAGGCCGGGGCGTGCTGGGTCACCGCCACGGCGAACCGCGAGGAGCCTGCGGAGGGGAGAACGCAGAGCTGCGGGCCGGGCCCGGGGGCGCTCCCGGGGCGCCTTCCCCGGCCGCCCTCCCGCACTTACCGAGGCTGAAGGGGCGGCGGGCGCAGGCCGGGGGCCATGCCGTGCCTCTCCTCCCGGCGGCGGCAGCCAGGGGCACCTGCGGGGACAGGGAGGGTCAGGCGGCGGCGGGGCCGGGCGGGCAGGCCGGCCGGCGGGCGGGCCCTCACTCACCGCGGCGCGGAGCAGCCTCCCCAGCGCGGCGGCCATGTCGAGCGGCGGGCGGAGCGGGCGGAGCGGGGCGGAGCGCCGGGGGCGGGAACCCCGGAGGGGCGGTGAGGGACGCGCCGGAATCACGGAATCGATCCGGTTGGGAAAGGCTTCTCGGACCATGGAGTCCGATCTATGGTCGGACACCAGCGGGCGGCCAGGCCATGGCACGGAGGGCCACGTCCAGTCTGTCCTTGAAGGCCTGCAGTGACCGTGACTCCACCACCTCCCTGGGCAGCCCATTCCAATGTCTAATCACCCTTTCTGCGAAGCAGTTCTTCCTAATGTCCAACCTAAACCTCCCCATGCACAGCTTGAGGCCATGTCCTCTTGTCTTGACATTTATTGCTTGGGAGCAGAGCCCGACCCCTGTCAGGGAGTTGTGGAGAGTTATCACTGGTTGGCCCTGAGCCTCCGGGCTAAACCCCCAGCTCCCTCCCCTGCTCCTCACAGGACTTGTGCTTCAGACCCTTCCCCAGCTCCCTTCCCTTCTCTGGACCTGCACCAGCCCCTCAATGTCCTTCCAGAACTGGGCACAGCACTCGAGGTGCAGCCTCACCAGTGCCATGGCCCCAGCGCTGTGCCCACCGACACAGCCCGGCTTGTGCTCAGAAACCTTCCTCATACACCCTTACAACTGGCTCTGACTTTGTTGAACTCACTTGGATTACACTTACAGAATCACAGAATATTCTCAGTTGGAAAGAATACACAAGGGTCATGAAAGTCCATCTCCAGGTCCTGCCCAGGACACCCCCAGAGTCACACCTTGTGCCTGAGAGTGTTGTCTAAACATGATCTCTGTCAGGCTTGGTGCTGTGCCCACTTCCCTGGGGAGCTCGTTCCAGCACCCAGTCACCCTCTGTTTTTAGTAAATCCTGGTGTTTTTTCTAATACACAACTGAAACCTCTCCTGACTCAACTTCAGCCATTCCCTCGGGTCCTGTCACTGATCACCACAGAGCACAGATCAGTGTCTTCCCCTCCTCTTCCTCTCACACAGAAATTGTAGACTGCAGTGTGCTGTCCCTCAGTCTCCTCCAGGCTGAACAGACCAGGTGCCCTCAGCTGCTCCTCATTCAGCATCTTCTCAAGGCCTTTCACCATCTTTGCAGCTCCTAGCTTCTTTCTTTGTGTTCCTTCATCTAAACACTTTAACCAAGCTGAACCCAGTTTCCCTTCTGGGTTTTAGTAACTTCTAGTTTCATATATTTATTAATATCCACAACATTTTAGAAAAGGGCGGACCTTGTGGACTGGAGAAGAGTCTGGGTCTGCTAGCTGGATAAGCTCAGCCATCAGCATCAGGGGCGCAAAGCCAAAGGCAGCCAGAGAAATGTCAGCTACCCCTGGGATGAAGTCAATGAATGCTAAATCTACACTTTTGAACTTATTCCAAGTACTGATCCATCTGCATGGCCCAGTCACCTCTGTAACAGGGAACCTCTGAGCCTTCAAAAGAGGGAGGATTATGTTCAACCTGCCTGTTAGGGCTGATAACCAGCTGGTATTAACTCCCTGCTATGCCTAGGAATTGTTTGGGACAGTATTAGTTGGTGTTGTCCAAAAGTGTGCTGAGACCTTTCTGGGCATTTAACATCATGGCAAATTTCAGTCTCTGGCACCTTGAATTTATTAATCCAGATGTAGCCAATGACAGCTGGAAACATGGCTCTGAAAGTCTTCTCAAAAAGAAAGTAATTCCCAGCAGAGCAGCCAGAATAATGTTATCTACCCAAAACATGAAAGTGGAAGTGAGTAACCAGTTTGCACATTAGAAAGTGTGTCAGGTAGAGTGTGGGTGAACTGTGCCCCAGCCTGCAGCCTTGGATTAGGAGAGGGAAGGAGCAATTGTGGAGATTGTGGCCAGGACAGAGGTGTGGGAGGGCTTTGTGCTGCTGCTGAGGGCTGCAGGCAGAGCAGTGAGCAGGGCAGCTGAGCCTGGGATACCTGTGGAGCTGTAGGTGGAGAGCAGCAAACCCACAGCCATTAGCTGGGCTGATGCTTTTCAGAGCAGTGCAGGATGGCATGGCTGCATTCGTGTCTGAAACCTGGCACATGCCCTCAGACACAGAAATGTGTTTGCCCAGACGAGTGCCCTGGGGTTGGGCAGCAAATTGTGTGCCCAGGGGTGGCTGGGTTCCTTTCCCTCAGGTGTGGGAGCTGCACTGTGGCAGCCAGAAAAGGGCTGTTGCTCGGATTTCCTGAGGATGGCTGTCTCATCCACAGATGATTATTCACCAAACTTCTAAGTTGATGTATTCTAAACCAATGCCCTTCCCCCCAGCCCCGGAAAGTTATATTTGTTTAAAACTCTTTGTTTAAACTCTTGGCTTGCAGGTGGGGAAATATTGCTCATGCTTTGTTGTGGAGGCAGCGTAATTCAGCTTCTCAGACTTCTGTGCAAAAGCTTGAACTACTGCCATTTAATGGGGAGTATTTTCCATTTTGCTTTTGCAAAATGAGCATCCCTGCAATCTGAAGATGGACCTTGTCACTGCCAAAGTGCACCTGATAAAAGTTGTTCCTTTTTCCTCAGCTCAGGCTCTGGCACAGTCTCAAGCAGCTGCTAAACCTGGTTCTTATTGACATCCAAAGCTCAAAATCAATCTACCGAGTGATACCATTTGCACATCTTTTTCCAGATCTTGTTGGTTGTCTCCTTCGCTGTCTTTAAGTGTGATTCAGATTGACATGTGAAGTTGCTGAAAGACTCTCCAGGGATTTCAGCAGGCTTTAAGGAGAAGTTGCTATACAAGGTGCAGAGTAGTCCATAAGGCACTTGAATAGAAAATGGGAGATGTGAATGTTCTTTTTGGTGAGGATATTTATGTGCCTGCTCCCATTTTGTGCCTCTCTTTTCCTATCTGGAAATAGTTAACTATGTCTTTCTGGTGAAAAACTACAAGATCAGTTGATAAAAAATACAGATAATGCTTGTGTGTTGTTTCCATTATTGTTTTGTAAGTGTTAGATTTTAAAGAGCGCTTTGAAAGATATCATTCACACAACAAAATTTTAGGGGAAAAGTAGCTGTTTCTCTTTAAACTTGATGAAAAGGATAAGCAAATACCAAACCAGAACTGCTGCTGTGGATCAATGAGTGGCAAATTCTGTGCAGAGTATGGGATACATATGTCTGCTTGTTTAAAAATAAAATCTGCTCAATTTCTAGAAGGTTATGTTACTCCATGTGCTGAAATGCTGTAACAATCATTTGTCCTCTACCTTGAGGAAATAGATAACTGAAAAAGAGGCTGGGAAATGGAAAAAAAAAAAAAAAGAATAGAGGCATAAACATTTTTATCTAAACCAAAGCAAAAACTTTGGCTTCGGCACCACGATGCATCACCCCGTGACTGTTGGTAGATGGCAGCCTCTGTCCTTGCACACAGGGGCGCTGGAAAATCTTCCAGCTGCCTGCAAATGCTCTCACAGGCCTGTGTGCTCCCACCTGCTGATACCCAAGCTCAGCAGGAGGAGAAGGAATTTACCCGTTCGTAGCAATAAGTTTCAGAAGCAATCCCAAGCACAATCCAGCTTAGGGCTAATCATGAACGGGCTTTACTGCATGAATTAAGTGTCAGAACGTGGATTGAGGAGATAGCTGCTGTTAGGGTATGTTTCCAGCTGATAAGTATAGGTAAAAGCCTTTCTGACATCTGCTCCACCATGGGGTCCTACCCTTGGCTGTGCAGGCGGCCGTGCTGAGGCCGAGCGCTTTCTCTGGAGCCAGGATCAAACTGGGTGTGTTGCCGCTGTGTTTGGCTGGAGCTGTGCGAGCCCACCCTGCCGATGAGTCATCCTTGAGTGGCTCAGAATATCACACTGAGCCTCGCTGCTTCCCTGTTCCTATTACACTGATGCATTTGGGGCTCGCTCGGTGTTGGCGTTTCATTTACAAACCTCGCTTTTGCCATAAAGGAAAGATGGCTGCCAGCCCTGCTTTACCCTGATGTTCAGCACTTTTAGGTTTTTAGGAGCCTCTCCTGAATGGCTTCAGATGGAAATTTTAAAGCATGTTTTTAAAGCACCTTAGAAAGCACATTTTTCAGAATATGAAATATTTTTGGGTAGCCTCTCCTTTTTTATTTTTTTCCTTCCAATACTGGTTGCTTCTGCATATGATTCAGACTAAATTTTCCTTTTTCTTCTTCAAGTGTTGAATCAGGATATTCAGGCCAGCAAAACAGACCTGTATTCCTTCCCTGCATTCCTTCCCTGCCACCCTGTCTTTGAGTCCAGGTATTTCAGCACCATTTTACAAGAGTGAATAGAGTCAGATAAGCAGTGGAACAGATTTACAGGTCTCCTGTTTCCTTCTCCCTCACTCACAGACTGTTCCATTAAATCAGGTGCAGACATAGCCTGAAATTAAAGGACTGTGTCACCACAAGAGAAAATGGATATAAATAAATCTACCTCTTCCTAATTTTCTTTGTTGGTTTTGTGAACCAGTTGTTCCAGGTGACATGAGAATGAAGCTACTGACAGCTGTGAAGCAGTCATGAGGTAAGAGTCCAAATGCTGCAGTGGGTTCTGCAAAAGCCAACTGATGGACTTTGTGTGCAGTGGAAACACATGGGGGCCACATCCATGAAAGGGGCCATCCATCTCAGGCCTGTGTCATATACCAGGGGTTTAATCAGGCTTTAACAATGCAGTAGAAAAGAGAGATGCAGTGAGGACTAATGTGGAACTACACACTAATCACCTTGATTTTGCTTTTCAAAGTAGTGCTAGTGAGTGCTAGTGAGCACACCTCCTTCCATGTCCCAGTGCACCACAGTGAGTCAGATTTATTAGAAACAAGAGGGGGTTGTTAGTTAACATAATATTGAAAAAAACACCCCTCCATTGCTCTTCCCGATAGGCATGGAGTCAGAATCGCTGCCCTCCATGTAGATGTGTCAGTCAGACACACATTCATTGCAGACCCTCAGCAGCCCTGTAGCAGAGCTGAGCTGGAATAACACCCTGTGTCCCAGCACACTCACTGCTGTCCCTGCTCCCACAGGAGCTGGAATAACCCCTGTGTCCCAGCACACTTGCTGCTGGCTGGCTGTCCCTGCTCCTGGAGGAATAACCCATGTCCCTGCTCCTGCAGGAATAACCCATGTCCCTGTTCCTGGAGGAATAACCCGTGTCCCTGCTCCCGCAGGAGCTGGAATAACCCATGTCCCTGCTCCTGCAGGAATAACCCGTGTCCCTGCTCCCTCAGGAGCTGGCTGAGCGTGCCTCCCGTTGCCAGGATCGAGGAGCCAGAGGGAGCTGCGCCGCTCACGAACACTAGGTAGCTCCGTGGCATTTCCAAACTCCTGACAGATCTGTCGTAACTCGTTTGATAAATAGGTTTGCCCTTTCAGGCATTAAATATTTGAAACTATACAGGGCAACATCAGCACATTGGAGTCATGCTTTTGTGCCACAGGGCAACACTGTGGGTGACTCCACATATCTCGAGGTACATACAGATATGAGATAAGAGGAGCAGTACAGCTGTTGGATGCACGTGCTGATTTCCAGTGCAACTCATACTTGAGCTCTTCAAGACCTGCCCTCTCCATTCAGGCACCTCTATAAAAATAACTAACCAAACACAGTCAGTGCTCCCTGTGGAGTCTCCCATGAAGGTAAATCCCACTGACCAGTCTCATCCTGAGGCACAGCAGACACAGCAATATCCCAGTGCTGCTGCAGTGAGTGGTGCTTCACAAAGTGGGCACTTATACACGTACCTTCATTTGTCCTCTGGAGAGAGGAGTTGCTTGTGGCATTAAAAACATTCTGTATAGTAAAAGTTCTGTCTTCCACCGACCATCAGCCTTGTTGCGATGTTTGCATTGTCCTTATGATGATCATTAGTGGGAGGCTGGGCAGGGATGTGAAGTGCCCTTAGAACTGAGCATAATCTGGTCTGTTTACATCAGTGCTTGCACAGAAGAGTTCAAACAACAAGCAGGGCACATGCTCCTTAGGAGCCTCATCTCTGTGCTAAGGCTCTGGTTTCCAGGAAGCAATTTCTCCCTCAAGAATTATTTAATCAGAGAAAAATCTTCCGGTACTTACTGACACAACTGCTGCTGTATAGAACTTGTATTACAAAGAAAGGAACCACAGCATGGAATGGCTCTGAAAGCTGAATGATTTTTTGAAGCTACAGGAGAAAGGCTGTGGAATATTGTTCATAGCAGTGCCACCTGCTATGCAAAATAACTTTCAAAGGTCAAACCTTTGACACTTAATCAGGTACAAAAGGCATTTATTGTAGCAATTTTACCCGCAAGGTATTATTCATTAAATGCATTTCTCATCTATTTCCTATGTTCAGAAAATGTGTTCTAGGCAGTCTGCAAGCTCTGCTATTGCAGGCCATTTCTGTGTGGCTGTGGAAAGAAATAAATTGGTACAATAAAAATAAAAGAAGAAAAGAGTAGTGTCTATGCTCCACTTGCGAGAAGGCGCATGTTAATTTGATTTGCTTCATGTGGATTTAATCAATGCAAATATAGATGGAAGAAGAGTGTCAGTGGGAGTAATGGGTCGTTTTTATTTCTCTTTCATTGCTTGACCTGATGAATCGATCTACCCCGTTGCTAGGAAAATCAGAATCATGCTGACATGAGCATCTGTCCTATGTAGACAGGGGAGAGCTCATGTTGTAATCTAGCGCTTAAAATTCACAAACTTTCCACAAGTGGCTGATGTTTTTCACAGTTCCTTACAAGGGTGAAAACAATGGTGTGGGGGAGAGATGGGGTTCCCTCGGGTTCTTCTGTGGGGGCTTTTGAGATCCCGAGGAGAAGGGCGGGCGGCGGGAGACGTCTGCCGGGTGTCGGCGACCCCTTCCCACGAGCGTGGGCACCTGCGGGGGGTGACACGCACGAAGAGCCGGGCTGGGGAGCCCTGGGGACCGCGGGCAGGACAAGCGGAGCCCCGTACCGCGGGATGGAGCGCGGCACCAGGGCTGCGCCGGGGCCGGGACCGCGGGAGCCCCGAGCATCCCCGGCGGCGAACACCCATCCCCACGGCCCGGGACGCTCTGCCCGGCCCCTGTCCGTGCCCCTGCCCGCGCTCTCCCCCTCCCCGAGGCGCACAGTGGCCGTTCCTCCCTGCGGACCCTGCGCGGCTGCGGAACCGGCGCCAGGTGCGGCGGGGCCGCCCCAGGACTACACGTCCCGGCGTGCCCGGCCCGGCGGGGCCGGCGCCTGCGCGGGGCTGCGGGGCCGCTCCGCGGTGCCACACCCCCGGGGGAGGGAGGCAGGAGCGCCCGAGCCCTCAAACCACCGGGGGAGCCGGCGGGGCGGAGGATGGAGTAGCGGGGCGCGGCGGAGCCGGCAGTGCGGGGAGCGCCGCCTCCGCCCGGCAGCGCGGGGGAGCGGGCGGGCAGGCGGGCGGGGATGATGCGCGGGGGGACAGCGCGCTAGGGGCAGGAGGCGGGTGGTCGCCCGGAGACTCCGCACCTCGGAGTGACGTCCTGCTGCAGTGCCGCTGCCTGCGCTGCCCGAGCTCGTCAATGGAGCTGGAAAACATCGTTGCCAACACCGTTTTGCTGAAAGCCAGGGAAGGTGAGAGAGCGGCGGGAGGGGAGAGGGGGCTGGAGCATCCTTGTCGCAGTCGCCCCTCCGCGGAGCGATGCCCGCGGGATGCGGGCGGACGCTGGTGGGGATGCGCGCCGGTCCCGCCGGCGGCGGCTGTCGGGGTGCCATGTGGCTGTGCCGGCGTTGGAAACGGCTTGTTTGAGACGGAGCCCCGGCGAAAAGGAAAATACCGCTGTTTTTCCCTGTGCGCGGGGGTTTGGGAAAGGAAGTGAATGAGATTGCAGAGATTACAATATTCACCCATCTCTTCCTTCCCCCTTCCCGCCTCCCCCCCTCAAATCTGGTCCCACAGATTGTGCTATTTCAGCGTCTATTGTTAAAGGTCAGCTGCAGATGCATTCATTCAAAAGGGCTTAGCAAATCTGCAAATAGCTTTCCGCGCCGTGTGGTGAGACCGGCAGGATCGTATCGCTTCCCCGTACAGTCATTGCCTTATTCGGCGTTATTAGGTGAGATCATGTTGCTGCAAACATGCCCATTGTTGCGAGCGTGTTTGTCCCCGGCCGGAGCCGGCCGGAGGGGCTGGGGGCTGTGCCCTGTCCGCGGCTGGCGCGGGGGTCTCCGAGCGGGGTTTGTCCCCCGCGGCCGCCGCCGCGCTCGGGCAGCCCCGGGGATGCTCCGGGCGATGCCGGAGCCGCCGCCGCGGAGCCGCCGCTGCTCGGCGCGGGGCGCCCTCGGTTGCCCGGGGGCTCCCCCAGCATCCCCGTCCCGACCCCGAGGGCTCGCAGGAGCGAACCCCGACAGCCACCGGTGGATCGGGCTCCCGGCGCTTTCTTTCGCTCCGTGCGGAGCGGACGCGGTTTCCTCTCCCCGCGCCGGCGGAAATCCTCCCGCGGCCGCGGGGCGCTGCGCACGGCGGCGCCGGGCTCGGGGTCCCCGCGGAGCCCCGTCCGCCCGGAGCATCCCTCCGGCTGGAGCGGGAGCGCCGCGCACAAGCAACACGTCCTACGGCTGCGGCATCGCTGCCAAGACGCGATCGCCTTCTGTCTGCTCCAGCCCGTTTTTATGTTTATGTTTATTTACTTGCTTGCTGCTTAAAATAAGGCATTTTTCCAAGCCCTTGGTCAGAGTTTCTTCCCTGAGAGCACTTGCCGGAGCGTTTTTAGGTGCGGTGCAACCTGCAGCCTGCGCTCCACCGCCCGCCGGAGCGCTGGAGCTGCCTGCCCGCTTGGGTGGGCTTCAGCTCCGGCCGCTGCGAGCTGCAAGTAAAGCTGCGTTCATTTCCTAAGAGAGATCATTCAAATAGTCCGCCCCTGGAGCGACCCTTTTGCTGGGAAAATAACTCAAATTGTAGAATAGTGTTTATATAACTCACAGGCTGTTGAACTTTTGAGGCTTAGCTAAAGAGTAAAGTCCTGAGATCCTCCCAAAAAAGCTCTACAAATAATAATAAGGGCAAAGGTGTTCAGCAGATCAGTGAATTATAACTTTTTGACTTCTGATGGAGAGATTTTATTTTCTGTTGTCATTTTATATGTTGTTTAGGATGCAGTTGTTGCTACCAGTCATACAATACTGGTTTAGATTTCAGCAGACTTTAGGAATACTTTAAAGGACTGGTATTAATTACAGTTATTGTGTGTTGTTTACAGAGAGCTGATATTTTGCAAGTAATTTTTAAAGTGCCGCTCAGTTTTATGGTCCTTTTCTACCATTTTCAGGAAGATAGTTACAGTCATGTTGCTTTATTGTGTTAGAATTGCAATAAAGAAGCTGTTAGCTATAATCCCAATGGCAGAAATTTATCAAGATTTCCTCCAAACTACATTGCAAGTGTTCTTTAAACCACGTATGAATCTCTAACAACATTTTTGGAAGCCTGGTGCTAATTTATTTTAGAGCTTTTTTTTTTTTTTGGAGGGGATATGACATTTTTTCAAAGGAAGAACAAGGGCAAATGATGTACCTGACATCAGAACCACAAGTATTATTGCTGTATGAGATAGGTTGCCACACTTTAGTTATTGTTGCAGGCTGCTGTGGGTAAAGTTGTTTAAAATTTGCAGTGAGTAATGAAGGTGGCCTTTATTGCAGATGAAGGCAGACAACATATGCAAGACCAAGAGTAAAAGCAAGTTAATATATTGAAGATTATGGTATCTAAAAATAATTTTGTTCCAGGTTCTGCAGACTCCATCAACAGATTTAGCTGGGTGAAATGTGTAGCCTAAGCCAAGTATGTGCCTGTGTGTTTCCACTGGTGAAGTCAAAATCAAAAGCTGTGTTAGCTCAGTCACATGCTGGTTGGTGTCTGCAGTGTGGTCCTTAATGTTAGGAGGAGAAAAATGATGCAACCACTCTGCAAATGTCAGTAAAGGCAGAAGTTTTGTCAGAATTGCAAGGGGAGCACAAACCTACTCTCAGTAGCAAAGGGAATGTCAAGGAGGGGTTTAGGTAGAGCTGCAGTGTGAAATGCAGCAGCGAGGACATTTCAGGGAGTCAGAAGTAGGGCTGAGTGGCCACCACAAATGTTTCATAGCAAATATTGGTTTAAATTTTGCAACTCTTTTGCTCTGGCCTTGGTAGCTTTTTTTTTTTTCCCTGTAGGCCCTTGTCTAAGTTCCTTCACCCCAGATGTAAAGTGAGCTTTTTAGCTGAAATACCAGGGGGCAAGTTTTATAACTGCTACACAAATACTTGCACTTAAATCCTGATGATCACAATGAGAAGCACACCCAGAATTAACTGATGCCATGTGATACATGAGTAATCTTATTAGAGCAACAAAAAGAGTAAATGTGGTTCACATACAAAAATGCATTTCAGTGAATAATTTTGAGCAGAGAATAAATTTCAGGAAATTTTAATATTTTTGCAGAATATGAAGGTTTTTGACACAAAATTACACATAAGTTACTTGTTATACTCAGAAGTCTGTCAGTTTGAACACGCAAGAATGGAGATTTACTGCACTTGAAAGTCCATTCATTATTTATTAGGAGTAAATTTATGCTTTTTCTTCAGCTGTAATTTCTCATTTCTTGAATGCAAAGTCCCATTTCACAAATCACTAATCCCTTTTCAGGCTGAACAGAAAATACATCTGGTTTAATTATAGGAACCAAATAGGTATTTGGGAACTATCTAGCATTGCCTGGGGAGAAGAATAAGCTAAGAAGGGAAGGCAAGAAAGATGAGAGTCATAAAAAGAAAATCAAAACAATAACAATTGCAGTCATTTTGGGTTGAGTAAGAACCCCAGATTATGAGGTGATAAAACATTTATCTGGATCTTCATGGCATCATAGAATGGTTGGGTGGGAAGGGACCTTAAATCCCATCCAGTGCCATGGTCAGGGACACCTTCCACTGTCCCAGGCTGCTCCAAGCCCTGTCCCAGCTGGCCTTGGGCACTGCCAGGGATTGGGATCCACAGCTGCTCTGAGCACCCTGTGCCAGGGCCTCACCACCCTCCCAGGGAACAAGTCCTAATTCCCAATATCCCATCCAGCCCTGCCCTCTGGCAGCCTAAGCCATTTCACTGCCATCTCTTTCCATCAGCCTTCGTGTTCCTGAGTCTCAGCAGTGGTGGCTGAGGCTCAGAACCACCCAGCCATGAGTGAGCCCTGGAGATCCCCCAGCTGCCATCCAGGCTGGGCAGGGAGCCCCAGGGCACCTTCCAAATCTGTGATGTGACAGAGGCCATCATCAGAAACAAGGAGCCAGGAGAGACCAAGAACTGAGTCTCCCTGGCCTCAGAGGAATTGATATAATCCTAATCCAGAATTTCAGTTGTATCCACAGTCTTGAATCTACTCTTGCCTGTCAAAAGACAAGTCTTTCAAAGAGGCTGATAATTCAGCTACAGTCTTTGTAATAAAAAGAAACAACAGGGTCTGAAAACATGACCAAGGCATGGTGATTACCTGAATATTCTTCCTCATGAACTGTTCTTCCCAGCCATAAAATCAGCCCTCCCTGATGTTTCCTGCTGCTTTTGTGGGCATGAGCTACCTCAGATAACCCAAAACACATTTCAAAACAGAAATACAACTTGACTCGAAAATTGCAAAATCCTTAAAAAATTTGTGCAGACAATTCTCACCACTTTCAAGTTCTCATGATAACTCTGACTAATTTAGTCATTAGTTTTAAAGCAGCCACTTTGGAAGATGAACTGTGTTTTTTTGTCAAACCTAGAGTTTCTAAAGCGCAAAATTTACCATGTAAAAGGAAAAAAAAAATCTTCAACCACTGAAACGCAATGCAAATGTTTTTTTCCCTTTTTAGGTAGGCTGGAATTCTAAAATGAGCTTATTTGTGGCACCCAAGCAGAGCCTCCTATTGGCCTAGACAAAAGGGGAGACCTTTCATGCACTCAGAATTTTTTGATGTGTGCACACTGATGCCATATAACATGCAAAATGTTCAGAAATTGCTGTATTTTTAGCTTGCTTTTGCAGGATGATCACAGGAGAGATTTGTGTGTGTCCGTACTGGCAGAAGACTAGCAATAAATCCTAAACATGAAGCGTGGTTGCTTTCCAAGAACTTGGCTGAGGAGCAGTTGGAAAAAGGGCAGGAGAGCAATGAAAAGCATATTTTGAAGGAAAGAAGGTGGCTGTAGTGGCAGCCAAAACTCTATGGAGAATATGATTATTGCAACTTCATTAACCAGTGCACTGAATGCAGAGTCTAAGGTCCTGTCCTCCATCCCTTGAAGTAAACCCAACATTCCTTGTATGACAAGCATTGTGAGCAAAGGAAGCTTCCATGTGGTGTCTCAGTTTAGTTTTCTTTTTGGAGTTCAAGAGAAGCTCACCACTGTAATAACTTTCAAAAAAAAACTATTTCAAGAATGGAGTCAGCCATTGCTTCAGATGCAACAGGGTGCTTTCAAGCAGTAGTTTAAAAAAATTAGTGTCTTGGAACCATTTCTTCCTGGGGAAAAAAAGGTACCTGGAAGAGTCAAGACTATCTCATTATATTTTAATCAAGGAAATTCAGAAAAGAGGATTTTTCAGGCC